TGTATGTATGTATGTATGTATGTATGTATGTATGTATATATATATATATATATATATATATATATAAAGTATTAATGAACAGAAAACAGTGATAAGGATTTTCAATAACATACTATAGACACCAATATAAAGCACAAATATACTACAGGTACTACAGTAAGTAAACTAGAATGTCATCAAAATATTATCCAGTGAAACAGAAGATCTGATGCTTTCAGCACTGAAGGAACTGAAGGGCGCGTAGGCAAACACACTCCGGGGTTACAAGCCCCCCACCCCCACCCTGCTCTCAGGCACAATAACTGTTATTGTGTTTCACAGTCCCCCCTCCCCCCCTTTCCTTTCCAGTGACCCCACCCCCCTCCACATCGTCTCTAGCCTCAACCCCCCCCCCCCCCCACCCCACCCCCACAACTCGTCTCTCACTTTGCAGGGCGTTCCTGATTTCCTGTTCTTCTTTTTCAGCTGTGAGTCCTCACTCTCCCGCATTTCCTTGTCATCCAACAGTCGGGCTGAGTGGAAGTCTCCTTCCTTACGGATGAGCTACACATTGGGGAAGAGATAGTAGCGGGAGAAAGGAGTACCTTCAAGTTCAGAAGCCAGTATGAGACCATAATAAACTACACAGTCTGAAAAATGGCAAACACCGAGTATGCAAAGGATGATGCAGAGGGAGAATTTTTCAAATAACTAAACCAACTTCCTCTAAACGTAATTACTGTTTGCATAAATTGTAAGACAGGACAGATGCTTTTGCATTTATTTTCAAGCTTAAACTATTAACTATTAAACTGTTAAAGAGGCAAGTTTTCAGAAGTATCAAGTCATTCAATATTTTGCAGAAAAAGAAAGTCATTGTAATTATTTCTTACTGTCAAAACAATAACAGTAATAGAAACATTTTACATTTTGTTTACAATTTTAAAGTCATCATTAATAAAACAAAACTAAAGAAGGCATATTTGCATTTACATGGTAAGTAATTGGATAGACAAGCCATCAAAACTGAGGTAGGGTGGGTTTATCATGCGATGCTAACTAAGACTGACTTAGACTGGTGATATTACTGGCTAAACTAGGAGGTTACAGTATACAGAATCCACATCCACACAGGGTCTGGAAAGCTTGCGTCTCCCATTACTGGAAGCTCCCAAATGCTCACCAGGGGCGGGCAGCTCATTCCAGACGGCAGGATCATGTGACTCTGTGGAGCACGTTCAGGACTCTCTCTCTGTCCATGGCCCAGTGGGGACATCATCTTCTTCTGCCCGGCCATGGAGCTGGCCTGCATCAAAGCCATGCTCGAGAGGACAGCCTCACAGCCCAGCAGTCCTGCCTGTGAAGAACATTTTCAAATGACATATAAGATTCATAACAACAAAAAAAAAGAACCAGTATTGGTTTAACTGTGTGAAAATACCCATTTCATGTGGTCGCGGACTGAGCTGCTGGGCAGGTGGGTCATCGCCGTGGTTACTGTGTATCAGGGCGGGGGAGGGGAAAAGGCAATGGGGTAGAGGTCACACTACGGCTGTCTTAGGAGATTTTACCAAACCCGGTCATCTGGCACTTCACCCTGCAAAGAGAATAAGGAAAATATATTAAGCATAAATAAATAAATAATAAAAGCTACCTAATTTTAAATGTACTACCTTATAAAACAGCTTATTTAATCACTGCTTAAGACAGAATAGAAAATGAAGCCCCAGAAATACACAAAATGCTTAGAAGAAATTCTGTCAAACCCACATCAGTTTCAATGACCTGTAATCTGGTAATGCACAAATTCAAAAAATGTACTGGCACTTACAGTCTGACACCAACAGATTTTAAAATCCCCAATGGTGGAAAACTGTTTGCAGCAGTAAACAGCTGTCATTACACCACCGTATGCTACAATATCTGCTGTGCAAGTCATGAAACGCACTGCTTTCTCGAACAAAAAAACAATCCCACAATGATGATAATTTATACGTTTCAACTACTTTACAAAATGCATTTGATCAAATTGCTAGTCATTAAAATTATTTTCCACATTTATACACACGAAAGGCACCAAGTCAATTCTGTTAAAAGAAATCCCAGTGATACATCAGTCCCCAGTTTGATCATGCATGTCGAGCACACTTAAATAAAACCCTCAGTGCCAAGCACCGTCCAGCTACTGCTCAATTGAATATGTTCTTTTCCATAGGTTAGATGCTATGTCAAGATCAATTTAACACAAACCATCCCTAAAACTGGCCTCGATATCCGACTACCAAGCAGAATGAATTAAATATGTGACCACTCTATAAAACAATTACTTGCAGAACTACTGTGAAAACTGATTCAATACTTGATCAAATAATGAATTTGAATTTAGTGATCAATGGTCATTGTTGAGACACCACAGCACACAGTGCACAACAACGAAATGTGTCCTCTGCATTTAACCCATATGCGACGTCGTACCTTGCTCAGGGTACCTCAGTGGTGCCTTGCTAGTCGGGGATTCGAACCTGCAATCTTTCAATTACAAGTGCGTGTCCCTAACCATTAAGACACCACTGCCCCAGAGTATTATGGGAGTCAATCCTGCCCCACCTTTACCTTCCCACTGCGACTCAGAGTAGGCAGGCGAGTAGGACAACAGGGTCACATGTACAATCTTTAGTGACTTGTAGCAATCCTCTTGATAAAAATGTACCATTTAAATTTTTAATGATTCCTCATTCTGAGTTTTCATTCAAATGAGATTCATTACTCTTTCTGAGAATAATTAAAAAAACACTACAACAGTAACAGCATGAGAAAGTAATGCATTTTTCTGGACACTACCATAATTTCATGCATTTATTAGGAGTTTGACTAACAGGCCTGACCATGCTTAAAAACTTCTACACATTAGAATCAAGACTTTTTTAATGATGGTCCTGCAGGGTAAACAGTCTTACCTCAGGCTCTCAGAAACCACAAAGACAAAAATGACATGTGAGACTCCCTACTTAGGCCCAACCTGTCGCTGACCTTAAGGACCTGATGAGTTTACCGATTCTCCCAGCATCCTCCTTGTAATATGCACATGACTGAACTGTCTGAGGCGCATGCAGGGGGTGAATACACCAAAAACGAAGACTCCACACAGCAGTTTCTAGGTACTCGATGCTGGCTATTACAAACATGAAAACTATGTATCTATACAAGCAGCCAGTTTCTTCACACTACTTTATACTGTGCTGCTGTTTTACTTTAGACCCAATCACAGAATGTACATTTTGCGTGCTTTTTCCAAACACAGAAGACAGGTCAACACTATGAATGTGAATCTTCAGCTATAATGACATAAAACACATATTGTAATATGTGTGTTTGGATACAATCACAACATACATCTTTAGAGAAAGTTACCATTTTACAATATCTATTCAATGAACCAGGTAGGGCCACTTAAATAATGTATTGTGGAAAAAGACTTTTTGTTAAATTCACTTAATCTGTTTTCTCCTGTTTATAAGGCAGTGGTCATGTTAAAAATTCATTCTTCGCCAGGTGGAATCAAGGCTTTAAAGTAATGAACACCATCTAAGTGAACTCAAATTTCACTGCTGCCAAACATGACCCTTTTTGCATTCAGCCAAGTCTTTTCATCAAAGTGAGTTATGAAAGAAATAACTGCAACGTGCTGGTGTAATGCACTAAAATTTCTGTACTAAATGAACAAAAATAAATTTAATTCAACATTATACAAGAAGTCAATCTGCCCCCATTTCTAATGGGTTTACATTAAAAATTTCAAACCAGGTTTAGCAGTACATATGGAAAAAGTTGCATTTTATGCATCTTGCCATTTACTATAGCTACTAACACTATAAATAAATTTGCTTCAACCCATCTTAAAAAACAGTTTTTTCATTCTTTTTTGCAAGATTTCATAACATTTCTAATTTAACTGCTGCCCGAGTATATATTACATGGAAATTACAATTTACAGTGTTAGTCTTCCATACACTTGCCATACAAAGCTGTTAAGAGTACTTCTGGGTTTCCTTTATAATCATATTGGCACCCTAAAACCTAGGCCTTGCCCACAGCCAGTTTCTCCAAAGCGTAAAGCCTTGGACAAGCCCTGAAATCAAGAGTGAACAAAAGGTAAAATGTCCTAAGTTCAAGTTCAGCACCATTTTTGGCTATGACTGAAACAAAAGTAAAGACATACAATTCCTGAAGACACTGCATCCATTATATACAAAGTCTGATAAACATTTCTGACCATCAAACACGGGCACAACACCGAGCAGAAGGTAAACGGCATGGGTGTGGCACGAGGCAATACACCTTTCTCGAGGCAGCAACTTCACAGTAATCTCTAGCAGAAAAATAATACAGCGTGGATCTGCGGTGATGAAGGATACCGCACAACTGTCACATATTCACACATATTTAAAATTACTAGCGCATTTTATTATATGTTAAGTTCAATATACATATAATTGCCCATTCGTCGTTATTATTATTTAGGAAAAATGATATCACTAAGCCCGACTCCCCAGCAAGCCATAAGGGATATTTTTAAGCAGAGTAATCAGCAATGAAACACTGAAACGTTATTGCACGTCTGTACCTTTTAAAACATTAATGGGGTTTAGCAACGTATACTTAATCATGATCAAAAATTTAAATGAGACCACATTTAAAACAGGAATTCGAGATAAGTCGTTTTTAAAACTTATTGCTATTATTTAACGCGGGAAGGTAACAAATAAGTTTGTCTAAATAAGCGGGTACTTGACACTTCAGGCACTGAACGTAGAAACCTCGGTACCGTGGCTCGGTTTCAGCCATCGTTTGGCCACAACCACTAAACCCACCTGCAAACTGCGCTCAAATGAGAACCTGGCAGACGTTTCATTAATATAAAGATTAAAGGCGGTTTCTATAAAATCTGCTATTAATATTAAAACGGATCGTTTACTTGACTAATTAAATGTTAACCTCCCCTAAACCGGCTACCAGTAAGCCACAGCCAAAAGGTAGGAGTTAAAAGGAAAAAGGGGGGAAATTACGATTATTTTGTCATGCCGTTTAGTCATGCACACACAGCCAAAGAACAATGCACCCTAGCCCCCCCAACCCCCCCTCCCGACTGGTTAGCCTGCTAGCCTGCTAGCCTGCTAGCTGGTTATCGGAAACAGGCGCAGGGGCTAGCGCCTTAGCTACGCTGGCTATCCGCTAAAGTTCATCGAAGCCCGGCACGGGGAGCGGAGGCCCGGGGCGCAGCCGGCGAGCGGCTCAAACGGGGCTCCTCTCTCTTAGTCCGGGGGGAGGGGGTTTGTGTGATGCTCCCGTTGCCCGTCGCGTACTCCCCCGTTTCGCAACTAGTCGTGTGGGTCGCGTCTCTTTCATTACAACCGCGTAACCCCCGTCTACGTTTATATATTCGAGCCTAACCGCCAATATCCCACTGTACTTTATGGTCGAAGCCGGCGAGTGTCGGATATAGCTGTTTTACCTTACTGGTTTCCTCGTGTTTCGAAAATTATTATTAATATATATTTTTTTCAGTCTGTCCCTCGAGTTCCAGTTTTTCCCTCAGTTTACAAACACAGGAAACGCTACCGGAAGTGCTCCCCGGGGAGAGGGTTGGCACGTGACCGCGTTGGGGGGGTGGGGTTGGGGGGAGTTGGAGGTGGAGCGAGGAAGGGGGTGCCTGCCATGTCTGTTGAGCGTGTAATTGGATCTCAGGGCCCCTCCATTTTGGTTTGGGCCAGCAGTGTTACGGTGCGTCCATTTACTGGACTCATCAATTGAATAACGTTGGCCGTTTTTTTCAGGACGCCGTGTCTCGTATATCTATTTTACAACACAAGTTTCAGAGCTAAAGTGACCTTTAGCTTACGGGGATAAAACAATGTGCTATTTCCTGAAGGAAATCGTCGTATCAAAATTAAGTTTTAGTCACAGTCCCTGAGGTATAGCATAGAAGTATAGAATATACTGTTCACAATTACAATTTGAGACGGACTCTGAATCCAGGAATCATGATTTTGCAATAAAACATAATAGCAAATTTTGACACTAAATGAAGACTATATTAGGTATTATCAACTTGGTTGCCTCTGGGTTTCCAAAGTCTCATAACTTATCTATCCACTGTGGACTAATGTTGTATTTTTTCTGAAATGTGTATCTATACAAATCATTAAGAAAATGTTTAGTAATTAGACTCCAGGCCCAACCCCCAAGCCTTATCCAAATAAGCAGCTGGAAGATAGATGAATGAAAATGTTTAGTTATGTTACAATTATCCTCATAGATCAGGGTGGAATATTTACATGACAAACATTTCTGATTTATAATGCACTCTGCCTCTACAAATACATATACATAATTAAAATCAATGTAACGTGGTGTTTTATCAAGAATAGTGTGTGTAAGTGCAACCTGGGAAAGTCATTGAATAAAAATGGGTAAATACTTGACAGGACACAAAAACTTAGTAATAACTCAGTTACTACTTAAGTACAAATCATAAACAAATGAGTTTGAGTTTATAGTTGAGATAAAAGACGTGTCATGAGTCATTAATATTGACCAAACATGAGATCAGTATTTAACTTGTATTATTCATTACTTGTTCCTTCAGTAGTTTCTTAGTAGTTCACAACGATTTACAGAATTATCAAATATAGTAACTGCTTGTATTGAATGATGCATCATGATTCATTAATTATGAACAAACATGAGATCAGTATTTAACTTATGTTATTCATTAACTGTTCCTTCAGTAGTTCCTTAGTAGTTCACAAGGGTTTACAGAATTATGCTGTAACAAATATAGTAACCATTTGAGATAAAACATGCCTCACGAATCATTAATGATGCATTAACATAAGATCAGTATGTAACTAAGACTTAGCATATGGCTAATTAATACATATGTAGTGGCATGATGCGATATTATTTGTGCCCCATCCAGTTGTTGCCTAAATATGTTATTAGGAAATAAAAGAATAAATGAGGCACCTGTGAAGAAAGACAAAGCAACAGGGCAGGAGCTAAAGGTTCTTTTGGTTTGTCAATGATCAGGAGCGGACAGCGAATCTCTGAATGACAGGCTACAATGGAGAGTAGTTCTGGTTTATTTAAGACATGTTTTTACAAGCAAAATCAGCTTTCCTGGGCTTTTTAAAGCCCTTTTCCTTTGTAACACACCCTGAATATACAGATGTCCAAAAAAACGTTAACATTTGGGAAGACATGAGTACCTACAGAGTTTCTACAAAATAAACTTAAATTCAAACATATATGAACTATTATTAATTACAGCTTTCTTAGTTGACACTATTCCAGTTTAGGCAACATGGAATGTATTTAGAAATTTAGGTAAAGTACCTCTTTTAAAAGGTACAATAGTAGAGCACCTTCTTGAAGCCAAACCAACAAACCATGGGCTGTACATTAAGAATCAGCAGCCATAGCCCAGTTTTTCTCAACCTAGTCCTCTGGGACCTCCAGATGGTCCATGTTTTTGGTCCCTCCCAGCTCCGTGCTGGACAGTCTACACTGCTGCTCCCTGAGCTGGGAGACAGCAAAAATGTAGACTGTCTGAGGGTGTCGCCAATGACCGGTTTGAGAAACACTGCCATAGCCCGTCTATTACAAGTCTACTCCCAGCCGCTCAATTTCATTCAGAAAAAAGTCCATGTCTTGCAAGGTGATCTCAGGGGAGAGGACCACCATGCGGAAAAAGTTGACTCGTCTGCTCTGGGGTTGATAGCCTACCATCATACTTCCCTCACGAACCATCCGCTCCTTTATGACTGGTGCCACCTAAAGGAAGAAAGAGGTACCACTGGAATATTTGCTAAAGCGAATAAGAATACTTCTCCAGCTACCTTCACCACAAAACTAAGACACTACAGAGCAATGGTCCTGCCTTGGGTAAGAAGATAGGACATTTTACTCTTAATTGATACAGCTATCAAAAATTATTTTTCTGACATCTACATTTCTGCAGCACTTCTTAAACCCCAACCTTGGACAGTCTTTCCTGGTAGTCCTTAATGTTCTGTTTTCCCCTGAGACTTGGCGGTATGAACCAGAAGCACACATTCACAAACTCTGGCTGTTTATAACAACAAAAGAGAATTAATGTTATTAAAAACACTGTACAGCGTCAACATTTTATACACCATAAAATCATGTGACTTTGTCCTTAAGCTCTACAGTAATTCAACTGCAATTCAACTGCAATCTAATAATTGTACTGCTGTACAGATAACTACATTGCTCACTTCATTCAGAAGTTGAAATCCTTCCCTCTTTTTCATCTTGTCCACAAGGTAGCTGAATTTGATGGATTGGGAACATGAGGTGAAACAGAAACATAAAACTACAAGTAAAACGAAGGTTTGAAGGCTTAAGGGTGAAGTAGCACATGCAAGCTAAGCCTGGTCTGGGAAGATATGGCCTTTGCATGGCCTTCAGCAGCGTACCTGGCGTTCTGGAAGGCTTGGTCCACACGCCCCTCCAGACCCCGCGTGCCCACCGCCTTCCACATTAGCCACAGCTTCAGGCAGTCCACCTTGCGGCCACACTGAATGGATTTATCCCCCGTGTCCAGACTCACGTCATAGAACTTGTCTTGCTGGAAGAGGTAACTGGCATTCGCACAGTGGCAGTGCTTCAGAAGATTCTGGATGTTGAGGTGGGGAGGTGGGGGGAGGGAAGGCCATTTTTAATAACTCACAGGAAGCAGCAGGGATTCCTGCAGGGTGCGCCGCATGTTACCGTGGTGTCTTTGAGCAGGAAAGCGGAGCACTGCAGGCCTGTGAGGAGCATCTTGTGCGGGTTCCACGTCACTGAATCTGCCCTGAGTACAAACAATTCAACTGCACTGAGGACAGAATTCACTGCAACCACTGGATGCATTTCAGGCTAAAGCAACTGCAACTGACAACTCCGAATATGTACAAATTTGATATGTATGTAAATATATACAACATTATCATGACCCTGACCAGGATAAACGGTTTGAAGATGGATGGGTAATCCTGTAACCTTATGATCCTCCTTTTTCTCAGGCCAAGCAGGTTCTCACCTTTCGATTCCTTTCATCAGCTGTCTGTGTTTCTTGGAGAACAGCACACTTCCTCCCCATGCTGCCTACAAGTGTTTACACAGAATTACCTTAATCAGGCAGTCTTTCCAGTGCTAATGTCAAGTAAAAAAAGAGACAGCTCTCAAACACATGTGCTCCCAGTTGCGTCGGAAAGAGTTTGATTTTCGGGGGGACTGAATTTGCCCACGGCATCATGAGGGGTGGCTGGGGGGAAGGGGGTGCCATGCAATAGTCACATTGTGGAACTATGCAATGTAAGAAAGATTTTAAAATAATTTTAAAACAATAAAGATTGCATAATTTAAAATAAGACTAATGCTGTTTAGGGTGCTGTTTCACAACTAAATATAACTTAATAAAAAAAAAAAAACAGATCCATATGACAAAATGATTTTGTGTGATATAGAACTACAGTCTTTGTTAGATATATGTTTCATCCTCATGCTCTGAATGCGCAGTGAACTGGCCTCAGACATGGATTCACAATGAAAGATAAGGAATGTGCTCTTACTGTGTCTTATCTTTTGCATCTGTATCACAACAGAAACGTATTAAATTGCAGTTATGAACGCATTAAAACGCACTAAAGTGCAGTTGTGAACAGTTATCGCAAAACCCAAAAATATCAAAATTTGAATTTTTTCCCCCAATATCTTTCAGCCATAAACAGATATCTATTCATGTTTAATGTTTTTTTTTTGGGGGGCGGGGGGTGCGTCTCTCCTGCTCCCCCTCTTTCCGACGCCCCTGCATGCTCCATCTATCAATTTTAGGACTGGCTTAACAATGCGTTAAACTTTTATTAAAACATTGTAAAATGTCAGTCATTGCTTTTGGTACAGAAACTTCCTTCCACATCCCACGCAAATCAACAGCTCTGTTTTGCCCCATCCAGAATGCACCACACCACCTCCACCTCAGAGGTCCATGTGTGTCCAGCTGTGCAGGATGTAATGATGACTCACATCTACATGCATCCACAGGCCATTGTTTTCACACACGTCCGCTATGAGGTCCAGCGGGTCAAAGGCGCCTTGCACGGTAGTACCAGAGGTGGCGCTGACTAACAAAGGCACAGCCCCCTACAAATGAAAGGAAGCACAAGGCCAAAGTTAGGCAAATGGCATCTTTTTCATGTGAACCCCCATTAATTCACTTTCCCCTAAACAAGACAAAGTGGCATATTATAATATGCATTAATTATTTTTTTTATGCCAGCTTGCATAAAAAGCTACCAAATAAACACTTCCTTAGTCCCCCCCCCCGACCCTTTACAGCCTCCATTGTACTATATTTTGACTCATTTATAGAGCTTCATATAACTATATATTTGCTGACATCATTAAGGTTAACCATGGAACAACAAGGGGCCCAGAATGACAACCTTTTAAACCCGTCACTGCTTGCTGCCCCCATGTACAAACAGATTATAAAACAGGCCGTCCGGAGAACGAACATGAGGCTCTATTGAATCATGAGATTTGGTGAGGATGCAACTGATGTATCTTTGATTTTGGGGGCAGGGCACGAACGACATCTGGGGATCTTTACAGTCCTACTGGTCTTCAGCAATAAAAGACGTAAATCAGGTACACAAGAACACAAATACGGTCAAATACGCATACCGAGAAACACCCTTGTGATGCCTGATCAGACATCCTGCGGTTGCCCTTTCCAGGATCCCATGCCTACTTTCCTGTTTGATAAAATAAATTCCTTCCTCCCAACCCTGTATTATGTGGGTCTGCCCAACACATCCTGTAGCTCCCACAGAAATTCCATCCCGCGATCCAGGGATCAGGGGCAGCTTGCACATAAAACTTGCCTGCGACTTAGCGAGCTCGATTTTCTCAACTAGGTCCTCCGGAACCATCTGACCCCTGTGTGACACCATGAGAGGGGAGAGTTTCAAAATAAAAGTCTAATTTCTGGATGTAAAAAGACCCACAGTATTAAAGTGCAAATAATACATAATTAAAATAATTAATAGATATATTACTGCTAACGGAGACAGTAATCCAGTGTAAATCAGACATTGAGGTGTGTAAGAGAAGATAAAAAATACAGAGATTGTTGCATACTTTAAGGATGTGTATTAACAGCAGCTAAGAAACAAACAGAGGGCATTTTTGTGTGTTTAAGGTAATGTACCTTTGGTTTACTTTCACAAGAAATACACTCTCCAGTCCGATGCCCAGGAGTGATGCAGCCTTACCCACAGAGTAGTGGCTCTGTAGGTAAACAGACATACTTAGCATGTTACTATACCATATTTACAGGTTACACCAGCTGTACTCTATAGCCAGTATTGAAATCCTCATTGTCCTCAGAACCACAACGCTTGGGGTACAAGGCAGTGATGTCCAGAGTCAAATGAAAGAACATAATTGGGGCCAGTCCAGACATTTTTTAATTGATCGGTATTGGCTACCACAGCCTGATCCAAAGTCTAATCTATTCAATATCCGACGTCTGGCCAATTTGCATCAGTTGTGCACATTGCAAGATTCTGTCACACACTGCAGTAAAGCCTGAGGCACTTGGCTTGAAATAGTGCTGGCCGCTATAATCAAAAATTCGTATCATGGTATTTTTTAAAGATTCTTGTGATTTTATGGTACATTTATGGTATTTTTTATTTTTGCATGACTGGACCTTTGAATTGGTTTGTAATGGCTTATTTTACGTTCCGGACATAACATATAAAAACATAAAAAATTTCAATGTGTATATAATGAAGGCTTTGATTACTATTGGGATTGCTTGTGAAATTTCTTCCACCATGTAAATTCCTCCCTCCTGTGACGTGTCGATTAGCTGTTTGGCCTATGACGCAATTGTGATGATGGAATCGTGAGTTCCAGGTTCACTCTTAACCATGGCAGCGAGTATCAATAAAGTATGTTTATGAATGTTACAAAAAACAATGATGTATACCTTTCAGTACTAGCTTGTTACTACAAACTATCGTGATGTCAACTGTGTGGAAATTCTTTATACTGGAAACTCAAAGTAGCCCAACAGCTACCTGCAATGTCTGCTATTATATCCATTCAAGCGGTGGTGCAGGAACAGAGTGTGGTTTAATGCAATTAATCTAATTATGCAGAAACATCACAAGGGAGAATATTACAAAATGGCGAGGCTTACTCAGACAGAAAACGTACCGACGCCTACGGTTTGTCTATGTATATTTTAATATTTATTAAAAGCTTAGATCGGCATCAGCAGATGTAAATACTGAATGGGTCAGATCAGGGTACCAAAAAAGTGGATTGAGACATCCCTAGTCTACGTTTTACTGTGTTTCTGTTACAGTGGATCCACGTGGAATGTCTCACCTCCTGGGATGTGAAGACAGCCAGCTGGGGGATACTCCACATCCCCTTCAGCTTGACCTGTGGGAAGGCCCGGTAGCGAGCCACGTTCATGGCGTACATGTTGGATGCAGAGCCACCCGGGCAGAAAAGGCCATCTCCTTCCCCCCAGCCGACCAGCAAACGCAGCTGGGACAGCACAACGTCTTCCATGAGCACAAACACTGGGGCCACCTCATAGGTATACCTCCAGGAAGAGGGCAAGGAGAGAACTTCACCACATCACCCAGCCAAAAACTCAAGCTCCTCAGATAGACACCTTATGAAACTGATCAGTAATCTCACCTTGTGATAAAAAATTTAATAAACTAAATGTCAAATTCTAGTTTCAAAAGCCCTTGCATCTCAATGGCTGATGACAGTTGGCGAGAGGGAGGGGGTTACTTTTGAAATGTCATAGGTTACAGATTACTAGTTATTGCTGTTAAAAATGTAACAAATACAAATAATGGAACATCACTTTGAAGTAACCAAAATTGTAACTTATTTCATTTGATTACATTTCTTACAAATGTTTTAAACTGGACAATCAAGCTGAAAATCTGTACTAATTGTTTTGCTGACCCGCCGGAAATATGCCAAAAAAAATGCAGTTCTGCAAGGTAAAAAGATGCAAAACAACAACAATGAGTATTATATTCTACATACTTTTAACCGAAAAGAATATATTAGAATGTAACCCCTTTATAATCACCAACATTTTGATTTGTAACTGTAATTTATTAAATATTTTTTCCTCAGTAACTGTAACGAATTACAATGACATTTATTTTGTAATTTAATTACATAACGCTGTTACAAGTAACTAGTTACTGCCCAACACTAGGTCTCACAAACTCACTGGCTAGTGTTGAGCGCCTCTGTTAGGAACCGTCCAGCCAAAGCATGGTAGTCCACCCCTGCAAACAGCTGATTGAAGAACCGAGGATGACCTGAAATCATTACACAGTGGTACTTTCAAGAAAGTGGCAAGACTGCCTATTTCAGATTTGGACAAAAATGCTCCTGGACCAGAAAAGACTGCTGCTCTACGAGAACCATGTGACTTACTAGTCTTCACACTGTATGCAGCCACATCTCTGACACGCTGCATCAGCTGCTGCTGGTTCTCCCCATCCTCCCGTAGCTCTAGATCCAAAAGCAGCTGCAACTCGGCTGGATCTCGCCACTCACAAACCTGAGAGGAACGTTCAGAACCTGAGCACCACGGAGCCTTTGGAGAAATGCAACGCTACACGTTACAACCATCCACTGAACATCTAACATTTAAATGCTCCGACATCCAGCCAAGAAACAGTTTAAAATATAAAACAGAATCCAAATTAGAGTATAAGTGAACAAAAGAATAAATAAAGAAAAACCATAACCTTCTCATTCACATCTGTGCCCTTGGTGAGGACTTCTTCCAGGATGACTTTGAATGCTTCAGTCAAAAAGGACTGACCCTCGGTGTGGTCCAGCAGTAACCCATCCATCCATCTGCCCTGCGGATCCTTTAAGATTGGTACCTGTTCCTCTGAAGGTCACATATGTTTGAAAGGAGACAAAACACTGAGTTCTTACTGACTGAACCACAAGATATAATAAAAAGTATTGAAATATAGGGGAAAACACAACCCTGGTTTAAAAGGAACCCATTGCAGTTTTTATGAATCATTTTAATCATAAATCAAAATAAATATTGCTATAGATATGTGATTAAGACATTAAACAATATTAAGTGAACCTTTTTCAGCTAAAAAAAAAAAGTTCATGTAGCTGGAGCTAAAGACCTAATGAGTAGCACAAAGACTATTTATTTACTACCTTGTCTCAACAAAAGTAGCAGAGACAGGTTGATGGAATCTATGTTATCAAATGGGGACTTATAATGGCAAGAAGACTATTAATTTTCCTTTCATGTACACAAAATTAAGACAACTGCCAGAAATATAATGAGATCAGTCCTCAAATTAATAGTCAAATTAGGGAGTTGCAGTGAAAACTCACATACACTAGGCCCTTTCTGGATAATACTGGTCAATCTGGCCATAGGGTTCTAAAAATAAAACTATAACCACTGCAGATCACTGGGAAAAAGTGCAGTGGCACTGTGTGCTAATGAAAGTTTCATTTTTGTAGTGAAATACATAATTATTAGGCCTACCCACTGGAACAAATTTGGCGTCTGTCGAAACAAAAGAACTGCAGAAAAAAAAGTTTTAGCAGACCTCAATAATCTATCATGTCAATCATGTGACAGACAACACTACTTGAGTGAAGTACAAAGAAATTGTAAGAAACGACGACATCTGCTGGCCAACTCATACAATGAGAAATAACCACACATCTACAGTATTTTAATACACTTTATCAACAAATCCCGGCAGTCGCTTTTGACCCACAACCCTATTTATTTTTTTGTGTACTAATAAATTCTAGTAATTTTATATACTATGTGAAGCAGAAACATTTTTCTATATATGCCCGAGACATCTCTTCAAATTAAATGTTTAAATGTGTTTGCTATACAACCCATTTTTACTTGGGCAATAATGTTTCTTATAGTTGTTTAATCGTTTGTATTACCCGAAAACATACATTACAATGTAGCGTCTGACAGACCAAAGCATCAGTGGCAGCAGTAAAAGATGACAAGGTTTGCTTGCAGGAGAAAACAACGCCGTATTATTAAACCCTTACAAATACTAACAACCATAATACAGCCACCCAAGCACAATAGGGAAAAGCAGGGAGAATTCAGTATGTGTTTAATCTTGTTAATAGCCATGATAATAGCCAATTACAAGATATTGGTTCAGCATTTTCGTTTCCAGATTTCTTTATGGGCGAATTTTAAGTTATTTTTAAATGTTTGCATGTCCACTTCGCATTCACCTACAGTCAGGTGCCCCAAGTGTCCGTTCATAGCACAAAGCACGGTACTCTAAGTCTCTAACATGAAACTTCAAGATGGTGGCGCGTGTGGGCGCAGTGGCTGCTTATTCTGCTGCTATATACTGTACACTCTATTCATGTATATACTGTGTATCCGCCCCCCCTATCGTGTCATGGGCACCATGTGTTAATCTGCACTTTACCCCTGTCATTGTGTACATACTGTACAGCCCCCCTCCCGCCCCCATGTGTCTTATGTTGCACCATGTTCTCGGGGGGAACGATGTGTCCCACAACTGTATGGCACGACAATAAATCCGACACCCTGTAAAGTGTGCTTTTAACGGTTTACTGTGGTGGACAATGCACACCCCATTGGATTTTCAGATTATGTATTTCCACATATAGGGCCTTAGCTTGTACGCACAACATAAAACATTTTTCGGGACTATGTATGGTTTAGATCAGAATTTCTTATTTTAAATTCCAGCAATGGTGACTCATCTAAATCTTTACATCAGTTATGGGAATAAGAATGGCAGCGGAGTACAACCATGAGGCCGTCTTCGAAATGCAGGCTTCGGCACGTTTATTTACTCATACATTGCAAAAACTAGACTGCGTGGGCTATTACACCACAAAGTCCTTAAACATAAAAGGTAGTTCTCTTTCTAAGTATAGGCCTAACTATCATATCTTTCAAATCTCATCTGCTACAACCCATAACAACAAAATAAACATTCTGTTGAATTTGCAATATCTCGATCATGTTTCTTTTTAGATTATGAAAAGTTGACGTGATCGTTGCTGCGACGCGGGGCTGTAATTTGAAGCTGGCTGCTTCAAGTGCCAATGAGCTATAACAGACTTCAGCAAAGTACTTAACATCGAAGTGTAACTGGATGTCAAGGATTACAGCATGAATGGGACACATAAGTATTACATGACACACTTGTACGTCGCTTTGGGGAAAAACGCGTCGGCCAAATAAATTGATATATGTGAATTTGCTTCATGATTTCTACGTCACCAATCCTTAGCAGACAGACAGAACCTTCACCATGTCCAACTTAAATAGTTATGCTTGAAAATACTTAAGACACTTGCGGAGGTTTGACCCAGACAATGGCAGTCGGTGCGGTGTTAACACGCTGAAATGTTTTGCAATAACCATTGCAGGCTGTAAAATTGCATTTCACGGCCGTCATGAGACAGAAGTATCCGATCGGGCGGAGACGTTCTTGGATGACAAATGTCGGTCTCATTGATTCCGTGAATAGTAGGTATATAATTTTATATTACATTATCGATTCTAGAAAATCATACCTAGCGGCTGAAATCATGCAATTTTGCGGTAGGTAAAATTTAGTTTGCTGGTACGATACAAGCTGCCTACATCACACTGGGTTTGGCCAAAATCTAGTTACGTAATCGTCAGATCTTTTATGCTCAGTTTATTTAAATAAACATGTTCAGACAACTTGTCTTAAGAAAACAGCCACAAAATAGTTATTCTTGTTAATTAGGTTATAAGAATAAAGTTTTTTTTTGCACAATAGTATAAAAAAATCTCGACATTCTTGTGGGATGAACATCGATAAAACTAGCAGTTAAAGTGCTATGTGTGTTACTAACATTTGCAAAAAGTTTTGGTGAAAGTATCGAACTGAGTAAAATACGATGCATACGTTTGTGCAGAATTTCTCTTTTTTTGTTGCTTGCGAATAATTTATATTTTATATATGCTTGTCAGATAATAGTTCAAAATAAGAAAATCACGATTAATAATGCACATTGCATTTGATAAGTTTTAAGTGCAAATGAAGGTACTGGGCTTTTAAAATCACTTTATGTAGTGACATTATATTCAATTGAAATATACCTGCATCAACAAGTCTCCTGTAAGTTTTATGCAGTTTACCTGGGCAGCCTTCACATTTCTCTTCACTTCTGTTTGCTCTCGCCGCCGATTGATTCATCGTTCACTGCAATCGGATGAGTCACAGTTTCATAAGACACCAGTAATTCCAAGGCCTTCCCTATGAATGGAGGCAGCGACGTCCCACGTCCATCATCGCCGAAGGGCTCACAGGCACAAGCTTTGCTCTAACAAAAGGGAGGGTTGAAATTTTAACCTTTTTTTTCTCGGAGAGAGCAAAGAAGACTTCCCCCGTCACTTCATAATATTACCCAGTGCTTGCTCATCGGTTCCTTTACCCACCAGCAGTGAATAACAAGGTGATTACCGGCCTGTTTTTTCATACTTCAAGCACTGATTCTACCGAACATAAGCCCGTTAGACATTATTTGCCCCCTCCCCACCCAAAAAAACGCGTGATTTTTTTTTTTTATTACGTGATTACGTGCCTAAATGCAACCATAGTTGTATTGTAATCAGGGAATAGCAGCATCAATAACCCAGGTCCTTAATAGCTGTAAAAACATTACGGTGTTACAGGAAAGAGGTGAGGGGTTTGGGAGGGAATGTTACGGCAAGAAAACAAAATGTTTAACACTTTCTCATTAGCTGATTCATGTGCAGGGTGAAAGCATGTAAGTCACTTCCAGTGTGATGTCAAAACATGATAATGAAAACTAAATGAACTAGATGAATACTGAAACTAAATATAAACCTAGAAATGTTCAGAAAATAAATACAAAATTAAGACTATTTGTACATTCTTCAAATAAACTGAATTAAAACTGAGAAACAAAATGGAAAACTAAATAGAAATGAAAAGTATTGCAAATTTGAAAACTATAATAACCCTGGTTTTCACACTATGTGGTTCAATTTCTGTCCCCCCCAAAAAAAAGGCAAACTGGGGTTTGACATGTCAATGATAGATTCAAATAAAATGTTCATTGCTGACATTTTTCATCAAATTGGAAATTCAGGTACGGAGGTAGCAGCAGTATGGAGTTATTGGGAATGCATCAATACATACAGTATGTGGGATATTACTAATAGTGAGCAATATATAGCAAGTGCCCCATTTTCCTTCAGCTAATTCATGCCTATTGACACTAAACATGTCCTTGCATTTCGACCAACATGATGGTGGCGATGCGACCAGCTTGGTTCAGTTACGCTTGCGGTCCTGCTAGTAAGCAGGGTAATGTCACTGCGGGTTTGGATGGGGTATGGCTATAGCAAGCCGTCTTAACATTTAAACACACCCCTTTCCTATCTGTAGTTGTATTTTAAATATACAGAATTGTATTTTTACTAGTCTTAATGATAGAGATGTCCAAACTGTATTATTACTAGCAAAAACTGTTCAACTAGACTGACTAGACTCCTAGTCACATTTCTGTTTAAGATACCTTCATATCTTTAACAAATTTATGTGGCTGTTTTAACATTAAAAAGCAATTCTAGCTATCTACATTGTATTTCTTGCTACAGTAGTACAAACAGGCATTTTAGATATCTCAGATATCTCTATTTCAATTACCAGTACAAATGAGCATCTGAGTACGGTCAGCCAGATTGTGTTTTGGTTTAGTTGTCATAACTAGATTTTTACTAGTAAAAATAACATTCTAACTAGTAATTAATAGATTTATTTTAGAGAATTGATTTTTGTGAACAGGCACTTTTACACAGCACTAATATGCAAGTAGTGTCAGCAATTTTGCAGTTCAAAGCTTTATTTCCTAATGTGTTGTAACTTATTAGGGGTCTACCTGTGTCCAGTGTCAAGATTACACAAATATTCAATGTCCAAGCATAATGGCCAAGCTGTGTCCATGACTCATGGTTTTACAGGGAATGTACATTATAGGACAAATTTGCACAGGGAATGTAACTTTTCTGTTTCCTGCTGGACCACACACTGAGCCAGAGGAAGAAGAGCCTCTTCACCTTGCAGGCCTCAGAGATGGTGCAGTTCTCAGGGACAAATAACTGCTTTTCTTAGTAATCACACCCACCGTGTGCTCTTTATTACCGGCATATAAAAGTGACACACAAACTTCTTGGTCATTTTACAGAAATTAAGAATCTTCAATCTTTTGACAACCACATAATTCACTTTTAACTGGCATTACAGCAGTTCAGTTTATAAACTATTTATTATTTAAGGATAATTTGCTTTATTTGGAAGGTAACCGTTTATCTGCTTCTCCATATTGACCATGCCCAGTTCCTCAAAAGTCATCCAGGAAGACATGGGCGACATGGACATGGAACGTGTCCCCCTCACATTCAAAATGCTTCTGCCGCCCCTGCAGGAAGAGAACATTTTATTAATCCAGAGTCTCTAAATATCATACTTTGGGTTATACACAGAACATTAGAAATTTGTTCATACTGGGCTCAGCAGTGTCGTCGAGGTCACTATACCCTCATCACCTTCGGAACAGGTCAGCCGAACTCTGTTAGAGGATAATAAGCAAGTGCATGTAATCAGATACGCCTACTAACATGTGAGATACTCATGCATAAAGTTATATCTCTGCAATCCTCTGTCATGTCACAGGCAAGGACAGAGAGGAAGGCAGGCAGGGGGACATCCAAAGGGCGAAGGGGAATGGGCCATGGGGGGTCACAACGGGGTGGGGAAGCTCAGGCGAGAGCACAGGAAACAATTCATTCTTGTGCCAGAGGAAGTTCACAACTGCAGTTATTGAGTCAACAGAGCGTTGGCAACTATAGTAATAAAAATAACTGATACGTTATTTATGAACTTTATTTTATGTACTTTCCAACCATCAAGGCTTTGGGCACTTTGCGCTGCTCAAACTCTCTCTCCACTAACTGATCTCCCTCACACATTCATCTCCCTCAAAAAGAACAAACACCCAAACACATTACATGTACTGAACTCACTGTCTACTGACCCTGTCTCACAGTGTACTGATCCTGTCTCACTGTCTACTGACCCTGTCTCACTGTCTACTGATCCTGTCTCACTGTCTACTGACCCTGTCTCACAGTGTACTGATCCTGTCTCACTGTCTACTGATCCTGTCTCACTGTCTACCGACCCTG